GTGACATCTACATACCACTACAACCCACAGCATGTAAACTCCTCATCTGTGTGATACAGTGGAGAGGGCACTAATGATTCATACAATTAATGCTGTTTCTGAAGGGCTTTTTACAGTCCTAAAATAACAGTGGGACTCCTTCCACTGTTCTTGATGCTGCCAAATTTTAGAGAAATGACCTCAACCAAATAAATAAAACAGCACTTGTAACTTCCCCAGCTTTGTGACAACTCCTCAAACTCCACACTTTTGTTTTCCTAGGAAGTCTAGAAAACCTAGGGGAACAGCAGCCCTGTATGGATTGGGCTATTGGGAGTAAATGAACTTCCAGCGCAATAGTAAACTACACATGAGCACATGTCAGCAAGCTACTGGACTATTCTTATTTTAAAACAGCTTCATCCTCTGAATAAGAAAAACTACTCTAACAAAATGTGCTAAATATTCATGAAGCTTCCTCTGAAAGAGTTTATCAGCAAATGCTTGAAAAAAAAGATCAACCTGAAAAAGATGTAAATGTCCTACCATAGAAGAATGGTTAGCCTTTCTGTACACATCCTTGAAATTTGTATTTATATATTATATTATATTATATTATATTATATTATATTATATTATATTATATTATATTATATTATATTATTATTAACAAAGTAATATATAGACAATAAAAATAGAGAGGAGAATAATATTGTATGACATGGAAATACTTCTAGGTATTAAAAAACAGGAGATAGGGACCAGCACAATGGCCCAACACTGGCCAGTCCTCTGCCTGCAAGCTCCGCCATCCTATATGGCCGCCAGTTTGTGTCCCAGCTGCTCCTTCCCATCCAGCTCCCTGTTTATGGCCTGGAAAAGACATGGGATACCTGGAAGAGGCTCCTGGCTACAGATCAGTTCAGCTCTGACCATTGCAAACATTTGGGAAGTGAACAAGCGTATGGAAGATCTTTCTGTTTTTCTTTCTCTACAAATCTGCCTTTCTAATATAATTTCTTAAAAATGCAGGTTATAACGAGCATAATTATTCTTTTCTACTTGTATATATCCTGGAAACCCATATGTTTCTAAAACAGTATACAAAAGGGATATGTATCAAGATTACTAAAAATGTGTGGAAAAGAGTAGATGACAAGGGATTCTAATATCCTTCTTATTTACATTATTTTTTAATGAAAATTAGCTTAAAAAATACTGATTTTGTAAGTATAAGAATTCAACTTCATTCAGCCTTGATTTTCTACCCAGGGTGGTGCTACAACTTAGTCATCCTCCACTGGTGTAATTTTCCCGTCACACAGCCCAGTGGGAAGGGAACTGTAAGTACCCTGCCCTTTCATTCTTGGAAATGGTCCCTCTGTTCTCTGCCCCCAGTCATGACTGTTTCACAGTGAAGGATGTAGAGTGAAGGGCCCGATTGTCTTGAACACAAAGAGCATGGTGTTATGAATACCCCAAGGAGGAGACCAGTATCAATCACCATGTTGCATTTACAGTTGCAGGTATGGCTTCTCTTAAATGGAAATTGTCCATTCCTGAATATTCCTCAGGGGGACTTAGGTTGGAGCAGCCTGTACCACAACTGTCCTTGTTTCTATGCCTCAGCCTCCATCAGTAACTAGGAGTGGAATTTCAGAATTCCACCAGGATAGGAAAATTAAGTTCAAGTTTAATCACTCTGCTCAAGTGACACCACCATTCCCTTAGCTCCTTTGTTGTTGTCTCAACCTCATGGCCTTCCTAATACCAGGGAGACAGACCTTGAAAAACTCAGCCTTAGGTAATGACAAGCAGGTGAGAAATCTCTGACTCTCATTATGATTAAAAGAAAGGAAGGAAAAAAATTTCCAGCCAGGATTTTTCAGTGTTTCCTAAAAACTTCCACAAAGTCTAGCTTAGGAATTCCTGCCTTGTCCAGCTGGAAGTCTGCCCATGAGTCATGACTAAATGCCTTCCAAATTGCAAATCCATTCAATTTGTGCAGTCTCTATTCTAAAGGTTTCCTGTTAATTAATTAAAGTCTTGCTACAAGTTTAATTGAGAAGCCAAGCTTCTTTATAAGAAAAAGTCTTTCTTTTTTCGTTTTCATTAGAACAGAGAATCTGAAAAAGCAGCTGCGGGTCAAATGAGACAGCTCTTAGGATGAGTTGCAGCATGAACAGAAGGAAGCAGGCAATCTTACAGCTCCGGTCCTGACTACCTTCCCCTCTGAAGGCAGCACTAGCTTTGAACTTACAGAGAACAGTGAGGGGTTCTCCAAAGGTGAGCCAGAAACACGCCTTTCCCTTCCATGGCCACAGCTTGATGAGAAAGTATGAAACAATTGCAAAGCAGAATTGGCCCTGAGTTCTCCTTATCTGCCTGAAACCTTGTTGAATGCATGGAGTTGGATGACATCCTGATGGCTCTGAACAACAAAAATGAGAACATGCATGATGCCATTTAAATTTTTACTTATCTATTTGAAAGCAGATAGCTGTCTGCAACAGATGGTTTGGACAAGACTGAACCCAGGATCTTGGAACTCAGTTTAGGTGTTCAAACATGTCAGGGTTCGAGTAGTTGAGCCATTACTCAACTGCTTCCAAGAAGTTGGAATGAGAAGTCAAGCCCAGATTCAAACCCAGATACTTCAAGATGTGATACAAGCATTTCAACCACTATGCTTGCTCTCCTAATCTGTGGTTCACATATAGCAGATTCAATATTAACATCCTGTAATGTTCTAAATTTGCAATAAGGGAATATATTTCAGATGTGTTGTTTCAAATCGCAGATCTAGGAATGGCAAATTCAGCTATTCTATACATCAGATGCTGAATTATGAGGCGAGTATAACAGAATTGATATAAAACAAGAATGGTGACAAGACAAATGCATAGTGTAGGTTTTTACTCCTTTTTTCTCTCTTTAAATATTTATTTTATCTACTTGAAATGTAGAGTTACAGAGGATGTGAGAAAAAGAGAGAGAGAGAGAGAGAGAGAGAGAGAGAGAGAGAAATACATTTCCCAAATGACTGCAATGACCAGGGCTGTGCCAGGCCAAATCCAAGAGCCTGGCTTCCAACCAGGTGTCTAATACGGGTGGCAAGGACCCAAGTACTTGGGCCATCTTCCACTGCTTTCCCAGAAGCATATGCAGGGAGCTGGATGGGAAGTAGATCAGCTGAGGCTCAAACCGGCTGTGCCATAGCACCAGTCCCCACTTCTTTCTCTTAAAGTAAGAATAGTAGTGTCCTTTCAGTGAGTGTTAGGAACTGAATTTTGTTTCCCCATCAAATTGACATGTTAAATACTAACACAGAGAACCTCAAATAGAACTCAAAAAGTAAAGACTGATTAAGTTAAGATGAGACCATTTGGATAAGGCCAAATCCAAATTGACTGGTATCCTTATAAGAGGAAATGCAGGTACAGAAAAACCAAAGGCAGGTACACCGAGAAGGGCCATGAGTGGACAGCAGGAAGCTGGTCATCTGCAAACCCAGGAGAGAGGCCTCTGAAGGAACCAACCCTGCAGACACCTTCACCTTCAACTTTCAGCCTCCAGAACTGTGCAAATTTCAGTTGTTTGAGCCATACAGTTTGTGTATTTTGCTACACAGCCCTATAAAACTAATGCAAAGAAAAACAAGAAAATAATCATTAGGTCACATTTGCCCCATTATCAAAGCCTCTGGAGGTACTGGGTCTCTCTCACTACTCTGTACTGGAAGTCAGCATACCAACCTCTGCTCCTAGTGGAGGAAAGAAAGAAGAGAGGGACAAGTGAGGGAGAAAAGGAAGGAAAAAGGAAGGGAGGGTTGAAGAGAGAGGAAAGGTAGGAAAAAGGAAGGAAGAGGAGGGGAGATTGGCAACTTAGCCAGATATCATTTCATGTGTCTCTCCAGGCACTGAAGAGAGATTTACATGTCTCAGGTTTCAACCCCAATTCCCAATGACATTTTCTGTTTCTTAATAAGCATCAAATTAACTGCACGTTATTAATCTTGCATATTAGTATGTGCCCAACTCATTCAGTAATTCTGCATGCTCTAAATCACGTCTTCTGATAGGCTGTGCCAATCAGATGGAAAGGAGCCACTCCCTGGCATCCAGGGGTCATGAGTCAAGGGAGTGACATCTCTAGCATACAAGAGCCAGCCTCAACCAGCTCCTGACACTCCCCAGTCAAGCCAGGCAGTCAAAGCTGCTGCAGAGTGAGTGGGTCTCCAAGCACAAAGCCCAACCTTTCCTCACTCAAGATAGAAGGTGCCTGACAGGCCAAATTCACAAAAAGGCTCTAGCATCTACTCAGTAGGAATTATACCCAACTGAAATCTGCCTATGTCATACTCACCATAAATGTTTGGAAGACAAGGCTCAAATCTTTTTGGGGGTTCCCAACTCCCATTACTTTGCACAGAGCAGTTACTCAATGTTTATTGTATTTAAATATTGAATCATGTAAATCCTACATATAGTATTCATGACATATGTATAAGTTATATACATTTATATTTAATTAATGTATATTTACATATAATATTAAAATGTTTTGTTTAAATAATGAGTGGCATCTACTTAATAACTCAAGTCTCTTTTTTAAAAAAACATTCCAGGAATGCTATCTTGACTGAGTTCAATACTTTCAAATAACTTCTAAGTTTTTTTAATGTAGTCAGATGAGGGAACTTTTTCTTAGGGCTACACAATAGATGTGACAAATTCCAATTTAGTAGAATTAAATTTTAGTATTCACAGGCCCTGAGAAGTAATGACAATAATATTGTTTCTCATAAATCTAATGTTCAAGTTTGGATTTCTAAGAGCTATCAGCTATCCCGTGCACGGGGGCAGGACTACTAAAATTAAGAATTCATTTCCTAAATTTTTTTTCCCCCGAGACTCGCTAATATTCAGGTCTTTAGCACTAAGAATCACGAGTGGGAAAAGCACCCAGCACCCAAAAGGCTGACAGTCGAGCGACAGGGATCCAAGACAGCCAACACTTACTCGGTGCCGCTTTCCACCATCTGCGTGAGCAGAGAGATGCCGTCCAGGTTTATGAACTCCTGGGCAAAGGTGACATCCCGGGAGAGGCTGGCCAGGTCCTTCAGGGCTTCCAGCTTGGCATCCATGCTTGATGACTGGATCCGCTCATGAAGCTGCTGGGCGCTTTGAGCCTCACCGGGGGAGAAACAGAGGGAAGAATGTTCAACCAAGGGAGCCACCATGGCAAAAGCCTGCCGTGTTCCCATGCAGTAACAGAGATGTGAAAGCAGGACACACGAGGTGCCAGGCCCAGGACAGACAGGCAAGCCAGGAGCAGGTCTCTAATCCCTCAGGGCCACAACCACCCCTTCCCAGGGGAACCTGCAGTAAGCTGTGTGTTTGCAAGAAAGGCATACAAGACTTCACTGCTTATTCAGTTTGGTCACAATCTGACCCACAGCTCAGCAGTTTTCATTTTTTACATTTTGTTTCAGATGAATTTAAAGTTTATAATAATTATGTGTAGCAATACAAAGAGTTTCCATACAATCACACCAATTCCCTTGACACTTCATATTAGTGTATTTGTCACAATTAATAAGCCACACTCAATTTCTCCTATTTTTTTTAATCCCTCACATTTCTCTCAGCCTCTAGTGCCCAATGGCCTGTATTGAGATAAGAATTTTCCTTTTATACATATATATTTTTAATTTTTAGCTCCCATGTATAAGGAAGAACATAGGGTATTTGTCTTTCTGTACCTGACTTATTTCACTCGCCACGAGCTCCTACAGTTCAATTCATTTCACTATAAATTTCAAAATTCATTCTCTTTATACCCTAATATATCCCTCTGTGTGTGTATCACATTTTCTTTGTCCATTCATCTGATGATGTCTACTCTAACTGATTCTATATTGTTATCAATCTGATGAAGCAGGTATCCCCCCCCCCTCTTTCTCTCTCTGTCTTTTGAACATTGATTTATTTTTATCGGAAAGGCAGATACACAGAGAGGAGGAGAGAGGGAAAGATCTTCTTCCACCGATTCACTCAGCAAGTGGCTGCAACGGCTGAAGCTGAGCCCATCCAAAGCCAGGAGCCAAGATCCTCCTCCGGGTCTCCCACATGGGTGCAGAGTCCCAAGGTCTTGGTCCATTCTTTACTGCCTTCCCAGGCCACAGGCAGGTCGCTGAACGGGGACTGGAGTAGCTGGGACATGAACAGGGTAAACTGTTACATGGATTTATACAGCACACCCAGCTGTACAGTCAACATTCAGAGTAACAACTGCCTACGCATGATGTCCAAAAGAAAAGACCTAAACCATCTTTCTGGGTTACTAGAAATCAGCACTAACCAGCGATGCCTATAAATTCCAATCCTCAACAACATGTGTTTCACATCCAAGGGCTACCTACAGTGTGACTTAAAAGCAAAATCATTTTAAAGCCATATTAACAGCCAAGCCTGACTTCTTTTTAAGGTGTCTTTGCTTGTATTTCACAAGCAGGATGGAGAATAGAAAAATACTAGAAAATCTGAAACTTGAAAATATGACTTTCTGTGTGTATTCACTCAGTCCAGGTTTACCTTTCAGTGGAAGCCAGGACTTAGAAAAATAAGACATTAATTTCTCTGCCTGTGTTTTTATTTAATGGAAATCTCTAAGCAACTGCTGCAGGGGTCATTTACAGAGCAGTGAGTGGAGCACTCGGCCAGCATCAGGCTCACCTCTGGTACTCGCTTTCTCCTCTGACATTTGATTTGAGACCAAGGGAAGAACTGGTCTTTACCACCCAAAATGAGGTTCTCACTCCTGAACAGAAACTATCAATTACAAATAACTGGGGAAGTGCACCTTTGGCATTTATAACAGGGCTAGGATTCCAAAGCATGAGCAGAGACTACACAGAGGTATTAACAAAACTGCTGCAGCCCACGAACGGTCCTCAGAATGTACGAGAAAATCTCTTCAGGTGCTGAGAGCAATGGACACATGGACAAGATCCATGCCTTCATCACTTGGCAACAAAGTACTGGGATATCACATTTTATTATAACCAGAGCCAGCATAATGGCTCAACGAGCTAATCCTCCGATTCCAAGTGCCAACAACCCATATGAATACCAGATTTGTGTCCTAGCTGCTCCAATTCCCATCCAGTCCCCTAACCATAGCCTGGGAAACCAGAAAAGTAAGACCCAAGTTCTTGGGACCCTGTACCCACACATGAGAACTGGCAAAAGCTCCTGGCTCCTGGTTTCAGATCAGCTCAATATCAGCCAGCCATTGTGACCATTTGGGGACTGAACCAGTACATGGAAGATCTTTTTCTCTGTATTTTTTTCTCTCTGTAGATAATGCCTTTCCAATGAAAATGAATAAACACTAATAATAATAATAATAATAATAATAACAATAAACCTCAACCAGAGACCTCCATCCTTTAGAAAAGAAGGAGGTGTAAGTGGTAGTGGCTGAAATCCCCACCTGCTGATTCACTGGGGCTCAAATACTTTTCAAATCCTTCACACCCTAAAAGCCCGTTTTTCCAAAAATGAAAAGTAGAAAGCTAAGTAAGGATCACCAATTTCTGCTTCAACATAACTCTAAGATATAGAGCACGCTACCAAATCTTCTCATGGATATGTAGCATTCCAATGACAATTCCACATTTGGATATGTTTTAAGGGACATTTCAAGTGGTTATAATATACACCCACAATAGTTAAGTTCGAATTCCTTGGAAAACACTCTTTTCTCCAAATAGAATGTCTTTGTTGCCTATATAGATTGTGAAAGTAAATATTCAAATTTATTTCTTTATTATTCTTATTAAGTTTGGTGAATACTAGTTATAAAAATGCATAAAACTATTCTCCCGCCAATAAAATGGAATATTATTGTTATAAAACATAAAATCATATCTGAATGTATACATATGCATCTGAATAAAGGACATCATCTTGAGTGAAAGAAACTGAACACAGTAAGATAAATATTGAATATTTTTCTACATGTATGAAAGAGAAAATTAAAAAAATTTTAAATATTGATTGATTGATTGGAAAATCATATTTTACAGAGAGAAGGAGAGACATAGAGAAGGATCTTCTATCTGATGGTGCACTCCTCAAGTGGCTGCAACTGCCAAAGCTGAGTTGATCTGAAGCCAGGAGTCAGAAGCTTCGTCTGCATCTCCCACACAGGTGAAGGGTCCCAAGGCTTTGGGCTGTCTGTGACTGCTTTCCCAGGTCACAAGCAAGGAGCAGGATGGGAAGTGGAACAGCCAGGATACAAACTGGTGCTCAAATGGGAGTCCTAACACATGCAAAGTGAGGATTTAGCCAAGTAAAGCCAGGTACTGAATTCCAACTTTTAATGATGCCTTATCTTCCTCCACCAGGGCACGATGAGCCCTAGATTGTTTACTCAAAAAGAACCTACTAGCTCTTTAAAGTCTGTGCACTTTTCAAGAAGACTAAGGAAGCAAATGAAAGTCAATAATGTAGAAGTTAAGTCTACAGAATGTATTATATTCTTTTTTATATTACATATATGCCTTTGATATGTTTCCTACTTAAATAAGTAGGATTTCAGGGCCCGGCGCAGTGGCGCAGTGGTTAAGGTCCTCACCTTGCACGCCCGGGATCCCATATGGGTGCCGGTTCTATCCCGGTTGCCCCACTTCCCATCCAGCTCCCTGCCTGTGGCCCGGGAAAACAGTCAAGGTCAGCCCAAAGCGTTGGGACCCTGCACCCGCGTGGGAGACCTAGAAGAGGCTCCTGGCTTTGGACCGGCATAGTATCGGCCATTGCGCTCACTTGGGGAGTGAATCATCGGACAGAAGATCTTCCTCTCTGTATATCCGCCTTTCCAATAATAAAAATAAATCTTTAAAAAAAAAATAAGTAGGATTTTAAGAAGAAAATACCTTTGATAAGTTATCTAATTAAAATTATCTACTTGAGACAACACACACTTGAAAAGAACCAGTGTCCAAAGTACCGGAATCCAGAAGGAACAGTACCAAAAATTAAGACTATTGTACCATTTGTACCAAATACCGAATTCCAGAAATTATTTATATTGAAACTGTTGATATTAGAAATATTTCCCCCAGACAGCCACACAGTAGAACAGCAAAGCAAGGCCCTAGTTTGTTGGGATTACTTCCACTAGCTGATAAAGGTTCCCTGGAGCTGTGTCAGACAGCAGTGTGAGTTCGTAGCTGAACAGCCTGATACGGTCCTACAAAGGGACCAGCTGCAGTGCCCCAACAGGCACTGGTTTGTGTCCTGGCTGCTTCTCTTCCTGTCCAGCTCCCTGTTTATGGCCTAGGAAAGCAGTAAGGGTGGCTCAAAGGCTTGGGACCCTGTGCCCTTGTGCAAGACCTAGAAGAAGCTCTTGGCTTTGGATCAGTTCAGCTCCAGCTGCTGCAGTTGCAGCCAGTTGGGAAGTGAAGCAGCACATGAAAGATCTTTCTGTCTCTCCTTCTCTCTGTAAATCTGCCTTTCTAATATAAATAAATAAATCTTAAAAAAGGGCGGGGAGGGGCAGAATACAGAATTCTCCACCTGCTCCAGCACCGGTCCCTATGCCTGAGAAATGTGTCCTGTTTTTATGGTTCTGTTCTTCCTTTGGGTCCCAACACTAAGGAAGCAACTTTTCCTAAAAATGGGATTATAGTTCCCCAGAGCCCACAGCCTGACTTATTCTCAGTGGGCAGGAACTCTCATCATAGTGTTGACCAGGGAAAGGTATTCAACAAATATGATCTTGGACATGACCTCCCTTTGTCAAAAGGCTATGTCAAACTTGCAGGATATCATTAAAGCAGTATTTTTCCAGTGGGAACTGGGACAGAGGAATAAGTATTTGTCATTATTTTCTCAATGTCTAAAGAATCTAGGTGTATCAGTGTCTAGATTTTATTATACAAAAGCATTTAATAAAAAATATTAAATTTCAAATAAAATTATTAAAAGGCAGGATTTTGTAAGGAAGTTCCACTTTTTGGATATCGGTTACTACAGGTCACTTGGCATACCATTTTACTTATTATTTGACTCTATGCCTGTCTTTGCAATTCTATATTGGATCTAAGAAATATTTCCAGAAAGCTTATTCTAAGCCAGGCACAATCCCATATATTAGAGAAACAGCAACAAATAAGACAGGTAA